TTTGGCTCACCTGAATGGAATACATGATGATTTTGAAGCAACGAACAGCGAATGTTTTCCCTTCCCAAAGGGAGTGATTATCAAGGTGCCTTAAAAACACAATGATATTTGTTACTGCACTGTATCAATTCAATAAAGCCAACCATCTCAGTTTTTACTGTATCCACACACCAGACAATGCCCTACAAATGATTTAACAGTACAAAGCAGTAACACAATCACACCTCAAGACTTGCTAGATGGAAAACCCAATCAGACACATGACTCAGAATTTGAGAACTACCCATTCTATGTTCTGGAGGATATTATATCTTGGAATCACTCTGTTTTGAATTGAACAGGAACATCTTTCAATTAAGTTGAAGGAGATTCTAGACAGAGGGCAAAAGACACTTGCTTCCAAAGGGGGATAACTGGTTAAAAGGGGTTAATTGGCTTCTGGGAAAACTGGTCCTAGGAGTGAGTATATTCATGCCTGCGTATGAGTCTGAGTCTCCCCTGGGATGGACTGGTGTCCTGTCCCAAGTAAACCTGGGAGAAGCACTCAGAAATACAATGGATGGATGGATATATGCAATTTGTTTAAAAGGCTCACATGTTTCGGTCCTGGGTAGAAATAATTCTTAGCAACAAAAAATGAGCTATTTATGGATCTGCCAGGAACAGAAAACACTGCTGGGACATCAAATTGTGTAGCGACCTAGGCAAATAAAGACTGCCAGTTTCTGCTCAGATCAGTAAATACCAAAGATCAGGATAGGAGATACACGGAAAGCAATCATCTCTTCTTTTTAACTACATATGATCTTTGACATACAAACACATTAAGTACAGCACAGAGCACAAATATACACCCATGGTACGGACCAACCCTCATCTCTACTCTTCTGGAATTAGGAATACACTCAGTCCTTCTTATGTACGAGGAATTGGGCCCAGACATGACCGAAAGTGCGGATTAGGAGATAGAGGTATACCACACATCCAGCCCTCCTCAGTGCAAGCAACCCCCCCACATCGCTGGTTCCCTCTCTTGTTGACTCACATGAGGACGGGCTTGATGGCATTCTTGATGTTGCCGTAGGCAGCTCTGCCCAGTAGCTCTCTGAAACAGCGCTCAGTCAGTTCAGCTGGACTTTCCTTCTCCTTCTCTGTGGCCTGCAGGGGTGAGGGTGAGCGGCTGTATGTGCATACAAGAGGAAGCAGAATTGCTTTGTTTAAACAGCGATGCTGCAGGTCATTATAAAGAAGGACTAGCTCCGCCACCACATGCATTTCAGGAATTCCTTGAAGCAGTGAAATCCAGCTGTTTCCTCTACTGACGTAATAATAAAAACAGTGCCCTCCAGATTTACTGTAGGCTTATCCTTAAGAAATAAGATGAAGTAAGACCAAATCATATCATGTCAAAGAATGATTTCCAGAATGGACAATGTGTCTGGATGAAAAAATTAAAAAATGCAACATTGTTATATTAATAGCATTGCATTGAACATACTGGTCAAAAATAATTTAAGACCAGAAACTTGAGGGTCACTTTTATTCATAACCCTGATGTTAGTATTGTCCTCTGGTGTGGATTACACTTCGTGTAATGTGCTATAAGGAACTTTCTCTTCTGAGGGTCCATCTACCATTCCTTTGGGCAGACGTGCAATAATTTCTTTAGACTTTTTGCTTGCTTTGGTTCAAACCAAAAATGTTTGATTGCATCACTTCCCTCAACAACAGTTTTGTTACCATGCATAGTTATTAAAGACAGATTACAAAGTCCATTTCTCACTGTTATATTGTGTTTTGCTTCTTTCATTGAGGTGATGAATACAGTATGTGTTGAAAGCACTGTATATACTATAAACATATTTTTTTTTATCTAGATAGTATAAGATAGTCAAAGATATAAGTATGCTTTTTTATAGAAATGAGAAGATCCATTTAGATCAGGGTATATTACATTTTGTTTTATTTAAACCACAGAAGATATAATTAAATTGCTCAGTCTGACTACTGTTAATAGGTTTTGGACTACAAACACTTCTATTTTATAGCTCATTATGCATTATAAGAACTATAAACTCCCTCTCAGCTGCATCATTTATATGTTCTTATACATACTTTCTATTTTTATGCATTATTTATCATGATTTTTTATAGCCTAAGCCCCATGATAAAATCTTATCCTGCAGCTTTATGACTGTTTAATCCTCACTGTTAGCTACCACATTATGCCAAGTTACTGAAAGCATGTCATCTCACTCTAGTCGGTGATGTCTTAAAAATGATGTTACTTACTAAATAATCATTCAGATACAGCCCATCAGTTTACAATTACACGTGCATGGTTTTATATAAAATAGCAGAACCAAAATTCTGGGGAAAAAGGAAAAAACTGCAGACATGCTCCGCTAATCGGAAAGACCGACATGCAACTCCTACATGAAAGCAACCAAACCAAAAGCATAAAATCCAAGATCATCCTGAATGTTTTTTTTTTTAATTCAATTGTGATGCTGTATGCATTTCCAGCTATTCAGGACATGTCTTTTAGGACGTTCCTCAGCTAGGTTGTCTTTATAGGTCACACCTGAGCCAAGGTGACACCTTATGTAGAAACTGCTGATGTTACAACACAAAGGCTAAAAAAAGATTTGCACAGGCTTATAAAAAAACAAGTAATGTTATTTGTATTACATCAGTACTGATGGAGACAAATGTTCCGTTCTGACAGCTTGTTATGTATTGTTTTTATTGTTTAACATGTTAATAAACCATATTTTATGTATTGTTTAATATTTTTCTTGTGAACTGTTTTGTCTTGCATGTAAAACATTGAAGAGAAAATAAACTAATGCATATTCTTTTTGTTGTGGAGTGTGCATTGTCCTTAGCATAGCCTTTTTTATTCTTAATACTGGAGTTACTGATTCTAATATGTATAATGAGAGAAAATCAAGAAAATAAAGTGGGCTGGTATACTTTTTGAGAGAGATTATTACAGTACATGAATCATGACAGCGGTTATCATATAAAATTAAGACCCTTAAGACAACGCACAACATAAACATACAGAATAGAAGTTACCCTATGTACAAACAAGAAGTCTTGGAGGCCTATGTTCTGAACAGCAAACAAAAACCCAGACTGCTACCAAGTATTCAAATCCTCTACAATGCATAACAGGCCAAAAAGAGAAATAAACCTGCCTTCTATACCAAACAGAATATAACCTAGAGTTAAATCTCTCTCTTTATAAACGCAGATGCTACAAAATCAAAAAGAAACCTACAGTATCTCCCTATTCTAAAAGTGTGTGCAATAACCATGAGAAACCCTTTAAACCTAGTGATTCTTTCTACAGAAAGTCAGAGGTTCCTGAAAACAACAGAAGGTCATGCTCTCTTATGCTCTCTTCAAATACTTAACTTGCATTTGGTCTTAAAGGGAGATAGGAACAAGGACCTCCCACCTCTTACTCTCTCCTCCTCTTTCTCTCCCTACCTGCCTGTTTTATATTCTGTTCTTGGACTTCTGATGACCCTTAATCATTTACCCATAACCTAATTAACCAAGATAAACTAGACAATTCCTCTGATAAATTTGTCTCACACCCAGTACAACTCACTAAACACCTCAGTTCAATTATTGCTTTGAAGCTCTCAAGAACTTTAAACATCTACACTAGCCAGGTGTTGACTATTGTCTAGATTCTTAAGACACCTTTATAGACACTCCCAATAACCATAACAATGTATAATAAATTACATAACAAATTAAACAAAGGAAAAAGCCTGCTTCCTTAAAGATTACTGACATTAGAAAGAAAGCATAGACCTGAATAGGTCACCACTTCTCTATGCTCATGCAGGTTTTGACCTCACACCTTTCTCCACCCCTCTCCACTTTGCACTTCCTGAGTGGCCTCTCTGCCCCTCTTGTCTCCTCCCCTCTCCCAGCTTTTGTTCTCCTGTGCTATTGAATCTTTGCTGTCTGCCCTGTCTTTCTCACACCTGAAGAAGGCTTCACAGCCGAAACGTTGTGTTTTCTCTCTTCTCTTATCAGCATGGAACAAACCTATTACTTGTTCCTTTGTAGTCTACATTATGTATACACAATGAGTTACATTAATAAGCTGTTGATGAATTTGTTACTTTGATTAACCAATTTTCATCTAATCAATTATTCAAAAAATAAATGAAGACAATAAATCAGGTTCCTAGACTTCAAAATTGAAATAATGAATAATTCTCCTGAACTTCAACTAAATGCACCAAGTTTCAAATTATACCATGACACAATCCTTTTTAAAGCACAATAAAGAAGATAAAGATCTCACTTCTAACTGAAATACGTTAGATGAATCAAAGAGATTTGCAGGATGCAATGCAATATGCCAAAACCTGTAAAATTCAGTCCTGTCTAAGGAATGTAGTGGACAGCATTTCTTTTCCCCTTACTTTTTCAAGAACCTACAGTATTTAGAAGCTGCAGTCAATTGCAATAAACAATGTCAGAAAGAATATCCTCAGGTAATTACAGCACTGTCAGTGGGAGAACCCCTTGTTACCACCTGTTGTTCTTACAGTCACACAGTGACATGATGGTGGTATTTACACAAATTAACAAGCAGTTTAGAACACTCAGAACAGTCACAAGAGGCACTGGCGTAATTTGAAAAAGTACTGGTGACATTTACACTGTTCATCATCCCCAAAACTGTAAACTGAAAAGGAATATAAAACGTTGAAAACACTGTGAGATGACAGGAGCCAATGCCTTGCGGGATACTGCACTGAGCCTCCTGTGCTTCTGTCACTCCTCAGCTCTTGGTTTCCTTGACCTGAGGGTGTTTATATCCCTCCTCCCACAGGTCACTGTCAAAGCCCTGTCTGAAACATATGTTCTATATATGAAAATGTTTAGTTAGGCTTAGAACAACTGCTTAAAAATGACATTTTGTAATTAAGAAAACTATAGTATGTTCAAAACAACAAGAAAGACATTTAACAACTTGTGAAAACAAATTATTCAAATAGTAATAGTAAATAAAATATTTCCTTTTCTTTCATACTGAAACATAAGTTTTAAAACTATTGTCTTTTATTTCAAGTTCAAGTTCACGTTTATTTGTAATTCCAGCCATATACAAGTATGCAGTGGAACGAAATATCGTTCCTCCTGGTCTACGGTGCAAATACAGACAGGACACTGACATAGACATTGTAGACAGGATACACATAGTGCAGATTGCAAATAGTGCAAATTACAAGGCAAATACATAATACAATATACACAACACACTGGGGGAATTTAAACCCTGTTTCTGGTATTGGAGTGGGGGGCGAATAGATTCCAGGGTGGTGAGGAGCCTGACAGCCTGTGGGGAAAAAGCTGTTACAGAGTCTGGTGGAGCTAGACCTTATAGTGCGATATCTTTTTCCAGATGGTAGGAGGGCGGGAGTTTATGGGAGTGGTAGGAGGGGTCATCTACTATACTGGAGGCCCTGTGTGAGCAGCGTTTGTGGCAGATGACAGAAATGGAAGGGAAGGAGACTCCAATCATGTTTTCAGCTGTTTCCACAACTCGTTGCAGGGTCTTGCTGTCTGAAGCGTTGCAATTCCCAAACCAAACAGTGATCCAGCTGGTCAAGGTGCTCTCAATGGTGCTTCTGTAGCATGTGGTAAGAATGGGCGGGGGAAGGTCTGCCCTCCTCATTCGCCGCAGGAAATAGAGATGCTGTCACAGTCCACTGGAGACTACCACTTCCTTCTACCACATGTTAATAAAGTTTATTGTATTACCCAGGAGGAGGTGGTAGCTCTCAGCCGTGGACTCCCAGAGGTTTCATGACAGTTAAATGAGGTAATTCCTCTCCCCTGTGCTGTGCAGCTTATTCTACGTGTGGTACTTGCTTGCTCGACATCCAACCCCTAGAGGGCGCTCCACTTTTTTCCTGTTCTCTCGGTCAGGAAGTCCAGAATCCAGTTACAGAGAGAGGTGTTGAGGTTCAGCAAGCTTACTTTTTCTATCAGCTTCTGGGGGATGATTGTA